CCTTTCCACTGTCAACATCCCATGGTTCTACCTTTGTGAGAAGGCGGGGTCCCCCTAGAGCCAGGAGCTTGCGTTCCAGTCTAGTTCTACTACTAGGCGGTGGCCCTAAGACAGGGTCTTCCTCTCACTGGGAGTTAGTTTTCTCATTTATAAAGCTAAGGGGCCAAAGCAGTCACTCGAGAACCCTCTAATGCTGCCAGGCTACAGCTAGAGAGCGGTTACCTCACGTGCACAAAACATCCAGGCGTTTGTTTGCAAATTGACAGATTCCCACAACAAATTACTGTCAAGTGTCACACATGACAGCCCTATTGTTAACAAAATTCTGGCTTTTCAGATGAAGGAGATGGATTAGGGAAGATTTGGATGATGGTCATGAGCCTTTGATATAACATTTTTATTGTGCTTTTTGTATCCTGATTAAGGGGAGAGCAGCACAGTGGCAAAGTTGTCTCTCCTGTCATTATTCAAATAGAGGATTTTTGTTCAATGCATTTTTTTTTTTGAGACAGAGTCTCACTCTACTGCCCAGGCTGGAGTGCAGTGGTGTCATCATAGCTCACAGTAGCTTCAAACTCATGGGCTCAAGGGATCCTCCTGCCTCAACCTCCCAGGTAGCTGGGACTACAGGTATGTACCACCATGCCCAGCTACTTTTCCTATTTTTTGTAGAGACAGGGTATCACTGTTGCTCAGTCTGGTCTAAAACTTCTGGGCTCAAGAAATCCTCTTGCCTTGGCCTCCCAAAGTGCTAGGATTATAGGCGTGAGCCACCAAGCTCAGCCTCAGTACACTTCTTAGTGTAAAATTTCCATTACCTTTCTCCCAGATCTATTTTTATGGCAGGACCTTGCTTGTGACCCATTTTGTGGCTATGAGGTGGTAAAGGGTACAGCGGCACATGCTGAGTTTGTGATGAATGGAAGGGCCAGATGGGGACGGCCACACGGTGCTCACAGTGGAAGGTAGGGGCTGGGGCCAGGGAAAGAGGTCTGCCTTTGTCACGCTGAATACAAGACCGTGGCAGGCCACCCACTCAAAAGTATTCTGAAAAGAGTCATCGAGGACATAGAGGTAGGAGAGATAGGACTGGTGGCATTCGTGCTGGAAGGTATCCAGGTAAAGGCAGAAGGGAAATGGGGGCGGATGCAGGACAGGATGAGGATGCTCCCTTTCTGGGCCTCAGTTTCCTCATCTGTAAAATAAGGGGGTTTGACTAGATAGGTTCTCTGCTTCATCCCTTCGACCTAGCTCAGAGCGGAGAGGAGGGAGGAGGCAGGTGAGGGAAGGGGAGGCCCGGGAAGCACTGGGACAGGAGATCCTGCTCAGTGGCATCACAGAGAGCTCAGGGAGGCCCCCAACAATAGAGATCGGGGCACAATCTGCGCTCAACCTTGTCAAGCCACCGATTGATGCTGAAACACTGCTCTCTGGGGTTTATTTATAAAAAGTAACTTCAAAAAAAGGAAAAAGGTACAACTTCCAGGGTGAGTCATGAGGCTGGCTGAGGACCCTCCACACTCTGGGGTGTGACAGCATGGGCCAGCCAGATGCCAGAGCAATTCTTTCCAGGGCAGTGTTAAAATTCTGTTCAAATCAATTCAGATTCCCACTTCAAGTGTAGGTCCCCAAATCACATACCAATGTGTGGCCCCTTCTGACTCCACACCCTTAAAGAAATACACACAGTGAATAATTGTATCTGTGTAACATTAGGGGACACGGAGAAGGAATAAACTCTTCATTTTATTCTTTTTAAAGAAAACGTGCCTTCTTTGAAAGACGATGTGCCAGGGACTGTGGTGGGAGAAGGGGGAGAAGGGGAGACGAGGAGATGGGGGAAGACTTTGTACAGTTTATCAAGATATGAGCACAGGTCCCTCTTCTTTTAAACTCCAAAAGTGCTCTACATTGAACTTCTTAAATTAGGAAGTAATGTTCTTAACAGCCACCCCAAGGCAAGGCTGTATCCAGAAGAGCAATCTGAATCATTAACGTGAAATCATCCTGCTCAGGTGATTCCAGTGCCGCTAGAGCTGGGGTGGAACGGCTGGGTGTGCCGCTTCTAGACAGCACGTCTCGGGGCTTACGTTTTAGGAGGAGCCTGCTTTGGCCAAGCCCTGCCCTGGGAATATGTCTTCAAGCAGCCTGAGCTCAGGAGGTGGGTCCCCTGCGCCGTGCTGAGCACCCTGTTTCCATCCTCCGCGTCTAGCTGTAAACTTCCGGTGAAACTCTGACTCTGCTATGTGCACTTCTTTTCCTTTTGGCAACCTGCCTTGACTTAGCCTTTCCAGATTTGGGCAGAGAATAATCCATTAATCTAAAGCACCGTGTGGCAAATGACAATAATCCCATCTTTCATTTGTGTAGCACTTCGCCCATTCCCAACGTGCATATACATGTCCTATTAGACAAGGTTAATTCTAAATAAAGCGGAATAGCGCACTAAGTCAGCAAGCTCCATTTCCTGACAATTCTGGAAGGTGCTAGAGCTGTGAGATCAATTCCCTTAGCCAGCAGAGGGTCTGAGAGAGTCCCTGTAAAGTGGGAAGGAATAAACTGAGATCTGGAAGAATGAACTTCCAGATCCTTAAATGCAGGTATGTCATTTAAGGCAAATTAAATGTTTTAAATAAAATTCAACTTAGTGTGCCAGGCACTGAGCCTGCTGTTGGGAGTGGAAAATAAGGCAAGAGTGCCAGCTCCGAGGGGTGTGCAGTCTAGCTGGGGAGGCCAGACTGTACACAAGTTCACTTAACAGATCGAAGCAGAAAGAGATTAAACTGACCGTGCACCATGTGACCCTGGCTCCTCGCTTGCCCAGACCCACTCTCTCTCCCAGCACCCACTCCCAGACCGCTGTGCAGAAGCCCTGTTCCTGGTTTCTCCATGGGGACACGTGGCCGGCCCCGATGAAACCCACAAGGCCCTGTACTCCAGTCCCAGACCGCCCACCTCAGCCTACGCTCCTCGGCCCACCAGGCCCCCAGGATTCAGTCCTTCTCATTCTCTTTGGGAGGGATCTGGGCTCCCCTCAAGACCGGCTGTTGACAAGGACAGGCTTCCTGATCCCCACTTCCTTGCCGTCTGAGGGGTTTTAGCTACAGAGACATAAAACTGTCTACCAAAATAGAAACATTCAGAAATGACAAAATATAGACTATGTGAACTCTATTCCACAAGTTCTGGTCCCTAGTTTATACCTTCTGATTTCTTTCTGAAAGCGCCACTCACCCTGGGCCCTCTGCTTTCAGTGCCAGCGGGATGGCTAGCCAAACAAGCAGGCCTGCCCCGTAGGGACTCGCTCCTGCCCTGCCCCTCCAGAAGGCAGGCCACGGCTCTGGGGAACTTGGGGAACCGTGGTCGACTGCAAGTGCTCCCTGCACGCTGAGGTCCTCCTGGTGGCCAAGGCCTTCCTTGCTCTCCCATGTCTAGCACTGATGCTTGATGGCCCTCCCATGCCTCTGCCCCTTTCCTGTCATCACTGCGGTTTCCAAGGACACCTCATTTGGGAATGTGACATAGTCGAGCCCAGAGCCTGTCTTCAGATGATCTGAGATTGGCTCTTCTGAGAAAAGAATCTGGGAGCGTGTGGATTTCCCCTCCTCAAACCCAAGCCTCCCCTCTCTGGCTGCCCCATGGCTTTGGTTCGCCAGGGGCACAGACCCCTCCTGGTATCCACTCCTCCTGCCCCTCTCCAGCCGGCGGCGCCCCGCTTCACTTCCTCCGCCCTCCACCTAGTTCTCTTCACCTTTCAATAGCCCCCCGCGCGGCACAACACACTTCTGCGTTTCTAAGCGAAGACTCTCTAACTTCCTGCCTTACAGTCCGAGCACTAGTTATGACCGACTCCTCACTTTCCTTCACCCTCTCTGAGTATATTCCCTTACTATTCACCACGGCTTTGTGAGAAGCATCGTGGTCATCCACGAGTTTGGGGGCAGGGAAGGTAGCTGCGGCAGAGGACCGCCGCCAGGGAAAGCATGGTGGTTATAAACTGCCTAGTTTAATGGATTTACACCAGTACAAATGCTATCAGGAAACAGGCGGCTCACTTGACATTTTTTGAAAGGTCTTCAGTTATTTAAAAGGAATGATTCGGGCTCAGGAGGTGGGGGCGCGCTGGAGATTGGCCTGGCCATTTCCAGCTTATGAACTCCCACTTCCTCCAGGCGCCCACCCCGCCCGGCCAGACTGGAGGGGACTGCTTTTCGCCCCTCTCTCCCCACCCTCCGCCCTGTGTCCTCGCTGGGGACGGAGCTCCGGGGAGCGCAGGCCGGGCTGGAGGTCTGGACCGCACACGGAGAGAAAGGCAGCCACCCGCGGGTGGGGAAGTAAGACCCTCCGCTTCCAGGCGGATGGGGAGGAAGACGAGGTCTCAGGGAGGAGTGGGGCTTGAAGTGCCCACGACTTCTGGGCAGGGCTTTTGGTCTAACTGGCGGCAGTGAAAACACGAGGTCTTGGGGTGCCCCCGCTCCCATCTCTCTCCCGCTCACTCCAAGTCCTCTGCAGGCACAGTCCACTCCTGCAGGCCAAGCACTTTGGAAGGTAACGTCTATAGACCCTCCACAAAGCCGCTTTTGACCCCAGGGACAATCTGGTGGGTCAAGATACAGGACTTAGCTGGGGCTTCCACAGTAGCCCTCAACCACTTCTCCATAGAAAGTGCGCGAAGACAGCGCTCTCCAAGGCGCAGGGAGGCGGCGCCTCTGCCAACGGGACAGGATATTTGAAATCAGGGGCGTCCCGGGCGAACCCTCCCAGTTGGTCCTCGCCGCTGCGCTGCGGGCGTCTGGGGAGGCAGGGTCCCACGCACCCACCCCCGGGGCCGCCGGAGCGGAGTGACCCGCGGCAGGGCCGGCGGGCGGGACGGGGCGTGGCCACCTCGACCCCACCCCCGAGGGCCCCGCGGCGCGGGCCACTGGGCGCGGGCGTTGGGGCGCCGGGCCGCCCCTCCCCGCCGCGCTGAGTAACCGCCGTTCCCAACGGCCGCCTCCGTGCGGCGTCCCGCGCAGTTTTGCGGGTTCGCGGCGGGATCAGAGCCGCATCGCCCGCCCCGAGGGCGAGCAGGGCCTTGACCGCCAGGAGGGCCCGGCGGGCACGGGGCAGCGGGAGGAAGCGGGCGCTGTCCTGCGGGCCGGGACGGAGAGCCCCTAGCTTCTCCCTTCCCCGTTCGCCCCGCCGCCCCCGCCGCAGGGGAGCGGCTGTGCCGCCGCCCGAAGCAGGGCGAGGTGGGCGCTCGAGCAGAGGCGGGCTCGCAGGCGCAGTGCCCAGAGGCTCCGCAGGGCCTCGCGTCAGATGGAGCGCGTTGGGGTGGAGGCCACTCACCCCAGGGATGCAGGACTTGGGCCCCCAATGAAGGCAAACAATCGTCCCCCTCCCTCCAAGGGTGTTAATAGTGTGGGATACTTTGCGGGTGGGGATCCGCCAACTTCGTACCTTTTAGAGTTGTATTTTCAAGTCTGTAAGAGAAGCCTACTGCTTGGTTCCTATGAAGTGAGCTTGCTGCGGCTGCCTCTTCCAGACCGCTGCGGGAATCTTGAAGAAGTGCTGGCATGCAGGGGCCGGGACAAGAGGCCAAACGGAGAATGTGTGGTACTCGGAATGGCACGTAGGCCTGAGGGCTTGAGACAGGTGAAACGCTACCAGACCCCTGCCAGCTGGCCGCGCACGCACCCTGCGGGGTGGCAGGCCAGCCAGGGCTACCGAGAACTGGATGGGGTGTCCTGATGCAGGAGGGCGTGGGGGGAGAGGGTGGGGACTGCTCCAAGAAGCCGCTCAGCACTAACGACCTCCTTAGCGTTTTGCTGTCAGTCCTCAACTACGTTGGGGGACATTTCTTCACCATGCAATCTGTCAGTGAAGGGAGGGGTGGATGAGGGAAAGTTAGGGAGCTGTATTGGCTCCCTACTAAGATACCCACAGAAATGTCTTTCATTCACACACTAATCCAGAGGAAAATCTAACCCCGAGTTCCAAAGTTCTGGATATCCAGGGCTCGAACCCAGTGGCATGATGGTTCCTGCCTTAGTTCTTCCATCCTGAGCACCACTCCAGTATTCTCTCCTCTGGCTAGAGCCCAGAGGTGGTGCGAAACTGTTTCACGACAGCCTCCCAGGGGAGAAAGAGCTACTGGGAGATTCCTCACAAGCACAAACTTAGAGGCCTACATCCTCTGGTGTTCTGGGAAGACCACAGGGCATTAGGCCAAGATTCAGATTAGCTGTGGTCCGAGACCTTGCCTGTGTGACATATGTGGATACATGCAAGGTCGCCAAGGCAGCCCTGGCCCCTGCTTTCCCAGCCTGAGGGCAGACTCCCTTAAGGGCAGGGAATTCCTCATTTGCCTCTGCCCGCTATAGCTCCTGGCATTGAACTGGCACGTGGTTGGCACTGGCAATGCACCTACTTACTAGATCTTGAAGAAGGCCAAAACCATAGGCATATTTCTAAGCTCCACATCAGCAGTGGGGTGGAGAGGAGCTGGGGAGTTGTGTGAAATCATGGACTCTATCATCCAAGGAGGTAGATCAATTTGAGCTCTAACTGCCAGAGACCAGAGCCTGAGCAGGCCCCACTGCACACACTTTTAGATGAGTTGTACATAGGTTCTAGGACCGTAAGAGCCAGTAGGAAGTTCCCCTCCCTCTGAGCCACGAAGGACTTCTAGGAGGGCATGGGGTCCTCTATGGGCCATGGCAGTGAACCCCCCTCAAAAGCATCTTCCTGCTCCCTTATAAAAGTGTAGAAACGACATATTCTTGCCTGCCTAATCAGCATGGGCTAACCTCCTGAAGAAAAGTGTCCAAAGAAGCCCTGAGCTGCCTGCCTGGCCCAAAGAATTGGAAGGGAAATGTCTTTGAGGTGGACTGACCAATGTGTATCCTGATCAAATGGTCCTGGCAGTGCATGGGGTCTTAGTGTTTGGAAGGAAGTGAAGAGCCTGCCCCTTGCTGGGGACTACAGCCTCTCAGCTGTTGGTGCTCTCTAGAGTCACCCTCCCCAGGGGCGATGGCCCCTTCTTGGCTTGCCAGGCCCTATCCTTCCCTAAATGTTGTACTGTTCTCCACTCGATCTGGTTTTACTGGCTGTGGCAGAAACTTTGGTCCTCAAAAGACTCAGGAAACAGAGCTCCACCCCCAGACCCACAAAGACCTGAGAGAAGTTGGTACCCCAGGGCCACATGGACTCTCGTGTGCTATGAGGGCTTTAAGAGCTATGGAGTGGGGAGTCAGTGATGGGGGTCGGCCTGTGGACCCTGATGCTGCCAGGAGCCACACCCAAAGGCTGCATGGCTATGACTGCTTTCAAGACCCTCTCTGGAGACAGACTCCCTTACCTGCCCTGCAAAGTTCACTGTGGAGACACGAGGACCCAGGAGGCTTTCCCTGGCCTGTGTGACACAGGCCCAGGCCCCCACTTGAACGGTGGCTCCCACTTTGACCACTGACAGAGGCCCCCAAAAGATGAGCTCTCTCGAAAGCAGGGCAGACCAGGAATAGCAGGAGTAGGCCTCCCAAAACACTGCAGAACCATCCGAGAATTTTGGACAGTGGTTGCTGTCAGCACCTGTGTTGGGGCGGGGACAGGAGCTCTCTCACAAGGACCTCTGCAGTGGTGCCTAACACTGGCCCAGGCCAAGCAGGGAGTCCATCATGTCCGAGTCATAGTCATGGTTTCTTCTGCACTTCAGCCAGAGGCAGAGCCCCAAGCTCCCACCCCAGTCGCCTGCCCTCTCTGCCTGGGGAGAAGAAGGGGCAGCTCGTTTCTCTCCAGGGTCATGAGTCACCCTTGGAGGAGGCAACTCAGAGTACGTGATAGCACCTTACCTGTGCATCAGGGAATGGAACTATCCAGAATTTATGACTCCTTGTTTGTATGGTCCTTGTATGACTCTTCTGAACCCAAGCCACCTGCTCTTCAGAGAACCCTCCTCAGTCTTGTCCCGTGGGCAGCAAGTCCACATCTCCAGTTACTGGGACTTACTCCTTCCTTGGATACTTGTCTCGAATAAATATTTACAGTGACACCTGCAGATGAACCTTAGCCACAAACACAAGACGGTGAGAAATTCACCGAAAAATGGGTCCTGGGTCAGTGATAGCCCTGGAGGTCTGGGCAAAAGCAAGCCAACTTTTTCTCAGCCACCTCCTCCTGTAGGCTCCAGGGTGAAGGCAGACTCATAGGAGGAGACTACGCCCTGAGACTGCAGAGTCAGGACTCCTGGCCCACCACCCCGGGGTAGTGGTGTGTGGAGGTGAGAAGATCAGTGGTGAGGCGGGCAGGCAGCTCCCCTGCCTGTCCTTTAGACCGCCGCCCTGCTGGTCGGCTGCTGAGCTGGAGAGCAGCTGAGCAGATGGAATTGGGCTGTGGTGGGCATGGCAGCCCCTGTGGACTTCCAAAAGCACCCTAGTTTCTTCCCTGCTGGGCGTGGTTCCAGAACCCAGGGTGGCATGAGGCAGCACTGGCAGAGGGCGGGGAAGAAGAGGACTCGGGCCAGAGCTCGCCTTGCCCCTCTTCACTCTGCTGGGCAGCAGCACGCCAGGTGCAGGCCTGGCCATCTCCTGGACTGCTACTGTTTATGGACAGCAAGGCCTTCGCCTGTTTGGGTCATTTACTCTCCACCAACCCCTGCCCTCCCTCCGCTAGCGTATTTTAAGCTGCTGACACTTATCCGGGCTTATCGAGCTCACTGTGGACTTAGGACCGAAGCTCCACAAAGTGCAGCTTTCCCTGTCCACCCCGCAAGAAGAGCCCCTGTGCAGAGGCAGAGATAGGGTCATTTAGTTAGAATGTCAGGCTGACTTTCCCTCAATCCCAGGAATATTTTAATGGCATGGCTTGAGCAAACGAGACTCAAAGCCTGGAATGACATGCCCAGATCTCACTGAGTGACCATTTATGACCTCGGATCTCATTGCATGACCAAACCAAAGACTCTCCAGAGCAAATTAGACTATTTCTACAACTCAAATTAGAACACCAAAAGAAGGGGGCACCTTGGCCAGGGTGGGCAGAGCTATTGAGTAGGCAGCGAGCTTGGAGCGAGCTGGAAATGGCTGGCAAGCACTCAGGCTGCCAGTGGCAGAGAACTCTCCAATTTGGTTTGTAGTAAATATGTAAACAAGTTAAAATAAATTGATTAGCAAAGGATCTCTGCTCAATGCTCTTTAAACTCCAACATCTGTTCCCAATAAATAATTCACCTAATAGATATTAATTAGGAGGCTTAGGAGGAGGGACAGGAGCTTAAAAAGCACACTGAGATGCCTCTTGGCCAAAAAATGCATGTGAAACCCATGCCCAGATGTAGAGGGGAGAGCGCCAACAGTGCTGCTTCCTCCTCCTGTCCCTTGTCATGAGCTGCACACTCCACCCCACCCTGTCCCTAGGAGGTGGACACAAAGGCCTCTTGCCCTGGGTCTGCAGTCCCCAGCCACAATAAGGGTGTGTCCATGGATTTCTAGAACTACAAGTGGTGGAAGGCAGCCCCTCAGCACCCCACTCCACCTCACACGCACCTCCAGCAGGCGGGCACAAAACATAGAGCCCCGCGCCGGCAGCCAGGCGGCTCTGCAGGAGCCCTCTCCCTCGCCCTCGCCGGGCACACAGGTGACTCTGAAATGGGCAGAAGTCGGGTAGCAGTGATGGGACGATCCTAGCCCCTGCCAGGAGATGCCCTTTCTCCTCCTTAAGCATCCTTCTCCCCACTTGGTTTTCTGCGGATTCCAAGCTCTGGCCTTCTTTTTTCAGCAGTTTCCTTTGGAGTTTCAGCTTCCCCGGCAGATCATCATTGCTTTCAACTTTGGAAGGAGCAGAGCTTCTGGGGACTCCACCAAGGGGCCGTGTATTTACATTCCTGGACAGAGTGGGTGGGTAACTACTCCAGGTGGGGCAGCCCAGCTCCTGTTTCCTCGGGTAGGAGGGGAGCTGCCACTGCCAGGCCCGGCCAGGGGCCAGGGTGAAGCCGATTCAGACTGTCTTCTCTGAGCAAGCAGTTGGCAGCTCACTGAGACGACGCACGGGAACAGTACTTTCTACCCTCTGATGTTTACTCACTATCAAATATTGGAGGAGTTTCTTAAGGATGGGGGTGGCCTGGCCCCTGCACCCTCCAGTGGGAGCTGCCCTCGGGGGGCTGTGCCTTCCTTTAGGCAAAGGATGGTTCTCCAGGTTCTGTTGGTGAACTGAGGGCACTGAGTACTGTCCCCATTGGCACTTCAGCCCATTTAGACCTGAGACAGAACCCAGCCTGGACTGGGACAATGTCTCCTGGCTGGGGGCTGGAGCATTAGTGGGGAGCTCTGGTGGGAGCCACGTGTCTGCCCAGGTGAAAGGAGTCTGGAAATTACCCACACAGCATTTTCTCCATGAATTAACTGCATTAATTCTGGAAAGCTTTGATCTCCTAAAGGGTCTGGCGCCATTCTTTATTTTGGAATCTCAGTGCTGTTGTCATTGGGCTTCTAATCAGGGGTCTTTGGAATGAGATGGAACTATATGGAGGTCTCTTGGGTTGAGAAGTGGAAGAGCTGCTAGGCTCTTAATTCCACTTTCAGAGCCAAAATCCAGAAAGAAGGGGAGTGTTCTAATTAGGTTTTTCCCTCCTGGGGATCGCCCTCTTCACTGCCAGTTCAAGGTCCGAAACCTAGAGAGTGCCTTGGACTCCTGCAGGCAAGGGTTAGTGGTTGGTAATCAGTGTGGATGGGCACAAGGGAGAACTCAGTCCATGTCGCCATGGGCTTACTGATGTGTGCAGTCCCCAGTCACAGGCCCTGGCTGCAGAGAAGGGGGTGGGGTGGCCAGAGAAGTAGGCTAGGCCTTGGCATTTCTGTGTTAGTTGAAAGGATTAGGCTTGAGGCATCTAAACATAGGCTTGGGCAGGTGCTGTGAAGAGGAAAGGACCACCTGATGTGTTGCAGACTTCAGTGGAAGTGGGGGATATACAGTCTCCTTGGGGAGACAGGATAGGGCATCCTTCCTAGGGAGGCAAAGAGGGAGTCGCTTGGCTGTAGGTCACTGGAAACTCTCTTGGTAGAGAGTGAGTAGTTCTTGGCTGGAAGGCTGGAGGTAGCTGGGGTGAGGCTCTAGACTCTATGTCACCTGTTCCACCATTTAGGATGGTGTCCAAGGAAGCCTCTGAGTAGCCAGATAGGGTAGCCAGTGGTCAGACCAACATTTGGAGAGACTTAAATTAGATGGATAATGGGGCTAGTGGCCAATGTCCAAGTTAAGTGGCTCTCTTTTATCCACAGCAATCAGCATTTCTTAGCCTTTGTTGAGAGGTGCCCAGATTCCAAGAGGAGAAAACACCAGTGAATGAAAAAAGAGAACCCTCCCCATGCACCCAGCGAGAAGCACTGCCTGGCACGGTCCCCAGAGGTGGGGAGGGCATGCCTCCTGAAGCCGGGGCAGGTGTGGCCAAACAGAAGAGTGGACTGGTCCAAAGCTACACTGCCCCCACCCTGGCCTGCCCACCTTTGCTGTGGCCCAGATACTACTTTCGTCTCTCCAGTGACTTGTAGAAAGCTTGTGAGTGTCCAGCCATGGGGCAGCATTGCATCTGCAAAGACAGAGCCTCGCGATGCAGCCAGGGTGGTGGATGGAAGGTGGGGCGAAGGCCTCTGCAGCTTGCTTCTCCCCACCGGTGCATCCCAACACCGAGGTCCCATGGTCTCGGAGGAGCCAGCGGGGGCAGAGGGTTTTCCTGTTATTTCCCATAGCTAGAAACGCAGGCAAGGTCAAGAGCAGGAATCTCACAAAACACACACCTCCCTCGCCGCCTTTGTCCACCCCGGGGCCTGCACACCCTCAGCTAAATGTCAGACTGCATCCTGTCTTCTCGAGGTCCCTAGGCCATGCCTGGCTCCCTCTGGCCCCGGCCTGTGTTCGGTGAGGAGAGCTCTTCCCTCCTGCTTCACCTGGTCAAAGCCTGCCCTCCTCCACTTCCACTCCATTCCCCGGGGAGCACTTTCCCAGACCCTCGAGCCAGGGGCTTTCAGGGGCATATCCCTGTGCCACTCTCTCGTGGCGCTTAGCGTGGTTTGCAACCATCCACCGATTTGTGTGATTATTAGTGTCTCTCTCCCTCTGAGACTGACCTGACCTGGTTCACCTCACTGTCCTCCCCAGCCTCTCTGGCACTTACTAGGTACTCAATAAATATTTGTCGAATGCATGAATTAGAGGGTTGATCTGAGTTCTCCTTTTCTCACACTCACCTGTGCAGGCCTCATGCCCTGGGCAGCTGTCTGCATCGCTTGGCTGCCCTGGTCTTGGCTGTGTGTGGAGAAGAGGGGCTGAGCTGCCCGGGGCGCGGGCCCTGCTGAGGCCATGGGCACAAAGAGACAGAGGAGCCACACAGAGAACCCGGGAGCAGCAGGCAAGGGCTGGCAGAGGAACACAATCGGGCTGTGTGTTAGGGGCTGGCTGGAGGGGGTTTGGGAAAGAGAGGTAAGGAATAATCCAAGAGAAATGTCTATGTCATGAAGTTGGGGGGCAGGGCACAGCTGCAGGTGCCACGAGGAAATGGTCACCAGGTGCCCGCACAGGCAACAGCGGGAGCGTCCGCGCGTGCTGCGGGTGGGCGTGGGAGCTGGCGCAGCCCTCCGGGGGCCGTTTAACAGTATCAAATATTTAAATATAAAAAGTACTTCCAGTTTGGGGACTCTCTACAACAGAAAGGCTTTCGTGACTTACGTGCAAGGACAGTCGTGGCAGTGGGGCAATGTTAAAAAACTGGAAACAACCCAAGCGTTTGTTAACTGGGGGCGGCTACATTCGAGGTGCCTCTGGAGAACGGGCACCGGGCCTGGCAGAGTGCGGCGGGTGTGTGCTGCGGGGCGGGAGGCGTGCCGCACGGCGATGGCCATGCCGCGAGCTACAGGATGCCGGTGCCCCAGGATCCCACTTACTTTTTAAAAACAGACTTCTATTTGTGTGCAAAAACGGGGTTATGTTTGTGCATGGAAAAGTCTGGAAGGATACATGCTCTACCTTTAACACTATGTCCTCTGGACAATGGGATTCAGGGTAGGGTAAGAGGGTCCCACACTTTTTGATTCTCTCTTTCGAATAAGCACGCATTTCCTCCATAATAAAAAGGGAAAGGAAAAGTTATAGGATGTGGCAATGGAGAGGGAATCTCATCATCTGGGAGCTCAGATTTTTTAGACTGGTGGGAGCAGAGGAGCCAGTTACACTGGGTGGAATAAGCCTCTGCAGATTGTGAAGATCCTTCCAGAAGATTCCTGGTGAATGTCATTTTTGAAAGAGGATGCTAGCGTAAGGAAAGGGGTGTGGTGGGGGAAGGTTAGGCTGAGTGAGGGGAGAGAGGCAGGCGCAGGAGGAATTTGCTAGCATCCTGGGGAAAGGGGTGCTCGGCTGGAGGGCTGTTTGGGGCAAGCAGAAGGCAGGCGGGTGGCAGACCCCAGGCAGAGGAAGCTCCCTAAAGCAGGGTGAGAGATGTGTTGTGGGGGTGGCATGGAGAGATGACGTGAGGGAGGGCTGCAAGGGAGGTCACAGCTGATGGCCCAATGTTTGTCAGTGAGTGGGCGAGAGTGGATGTTGTCAGCGGCAAAGGAGAGGGCTAGGAATGGGGACAGGGGGTGAGGGCAGTGGTAACCTCTGGGAACAGGGAAAGGGCCAAAGGGGGCTGGCAAAACTGACTGCAGCAGAAGGGCCTGGCCGAGCTGTCCACCACGCACTTGGATGGACCAGTGGCAGTTCTGCGTCTTTCCCTTAGCAGAGCTGAAGTGTAAAACTGGAGGAGATGAAAGTTCCATTGTTCCAAAGGTGGAGAGCAACACGGCAAGCCCAGCATTCAGGAAAGAGTTTTAAACAGGTCGACCACGAGGTAAAGAAAGAACATGATATGGAGCTTCACGTTGGGATGAACAGCTGCAGAAGCCCCTCCGGAAAAGGGAGTGGTGGAGAGCTAGGGCGGGGCTCTGTGGGCGATGCTGGGGGCCAGGCGTGGCTGTGGGGGTGGGGTGCAGAAGCAGAGGGGAGTAACAAGGCTCCTGGTGGTGGGGGTTGGGGGGTCAATTGTCTAGGCAGAGCCCTATAGGTGCAGAGATAAAATTGGTGAGTCTAAGGCCAGAGATCTCAATTCATTCATTCAACAAATATTTATTGAGCACCTACTATGTGCCAGGCATTTTTTCCAACCCCATGGGAGGTGAATGTGGGAGTCCACCAGATGGTGATAGATGGAGATGGGAAGAGGAGGGTTGGGTGGCGTGGGGCTCCTAGAGGAAGGGCAAGCATCACAGGGAAGGGGCTATGATGGCCAGGAGCAAGCCAGGAGGGCACTGGCCTTGAGGCTTTGCCTGAGGTGTGGGGCCTGGGCTGGCCACGAAGCAGAGGCTGCCCTGTTAAGAGCTGGGAGAGGCGCCAGCCTCAGGGCAAGGCAGGTTTGGGATGAGACAAGAGAAGGTGGGAAATGGTCTATCACTTCCTCCCTGCAGTGTAGCCTGCTTCCCAGAGCCCGTGGGTATCATGGCTGGCACAGGGTGGCAGGAGGGCCAGGCAAGGGAGGGGCGAGACTGTCCTCAGACATCGAGGGGCTCCCCCAGGCCGTGGCGCTCTTATCCGCGACCAGCTCGGGGTGTCAGCCCTCGCTTGCTGTTTGGAAGTGGAGAGAAAGAAGCGGGCCCCAGAGAGGCGGCCAGGACGCATACAGTGGTAGGAGAGAGAGGGCTCCAAGAGGAGATGGCCGTGGGTGGACGTGGAGGAAGAGCAGCCAAAGGCATTCCTGAGGGCAGGCACAGCTGCACACGGATCGGGGGAATGTGACCTAAGTAGACAGCGCTGTGAGGGGAACCACCAGACCCGCCTGCTTCGGCCAGGCCTTAGGGATCCCATTAGCCAGCAAAGGTCCCCCTGATGGCTTCTACCTGTCCTCAGGCCACCTTGAAGCACTGGAGGAGGAGGTCTGGGGGACAGCGGTGGGGCAGGGGTGCAGAAGGGCCTGCATTCGGGGAAGTGGATGGGGTGACCCGAGGATCTCAGGAAGACACCTTTCCTTCCACCCCAAGACCCCGGCCCGCTCCCGCAGCCGCCTTCCAGACCAAGCTCCACCTCCTAGGCTCGCCTGCTCTCACCCTGTCCCATTCCCTACAGCGCAGACCTTGTCATTCGACTTGGGCATATTGCTCTTCCTCCTCCCTCCCTCAGGGTGTGGGTGCAGGGAGCCCCATGCACTCGTGCCCACTGGCATGGCAGCCAGAGGCATGCTGAGCTCTTTCGGATTCCAAATGAAGCTATGAGGCAGCGTGACTGGGAGCCTTTGGCTTTGCCCAAAAGCCGAGAAGGCTCTGCTCTGGGGGGCGAGCGGCTTGGAATCTGGACCCTCTTTCTGGGACGGCTGGAGGCAGGAGCCACTTGGCAGGTGTGGAAGGAATCTCTGGTGGAGGTCTTTTTCCTCCTTTTGTCCTCAAAAGTCTTTGGGATACCTGCGGGGCTGGGTGGTGACCTCATCAGCCCACCAGCAGGTAGTCAGGTGTGCCCTTTCCTCTCCTGGCTCCTGTCTCAGCCACTGCAGCTTCTAGAGAAAGAAAACAAAGCCAGCTGCTACTGGCAGGGCCGGGGAGAGGTGGCAGATGAGGAGAGACGGGGGACACGAGCCTGCTCAGAAGGAAGTCAGCCCCTTCCGGCCTGTAGGTAGCCACCTGGAGCAGCAGTAGGTCATTCTAGAGGAGAAAGACAGGAGGGGGAAAGCTCAAAACTGCTGAAAGGAGGGCCCGGGCCGGGAGGGTGCAAAACTAAGTCCTGGAAGTGGACCTGCTTCTGGGGCTGGTAGGCGGGGCGGGGCCTGTGCTTGCCTCCCTGCAGTTCAACTCTGGCAGGGGCTCCTTCGGGGGAAGGAAGGACACCGCTGTGCAAAGCGGGTGCCCTTACATCCCCTGCACCCCGCACCCCACGGCCTCTGTGCAGAGCTGGTGGCTCCGTGCCCTTGTGGTTCTCAGGATGGCCTCACGAACAGCGCTGGCGATTTCTCTCGGGGGCCTTGAGCCGGGACCATGAATTGGAAGTGTGGAGTGACTTCTTGCCTGGCCACCCTGCCCCGTCCCCCTCCCCTGGCTTGGCCTTGGTCAAGGCCACTTCCCCAGCCTTGGGCTTGGCTCAGGAGGGAGCCCTGCTTTCTGCTGAGACCACCAGCCAGGCGGGTGGTTGCTTGGAAACGGCTCTGGTTTCTCTCAGACCACACCTCCTCACCTGCCTTCCACCGGCCACGCACAGGAAGACGCGCAGATGCCAGCGCTGTGCATGCTCCGCCGTGGCCTGAAGTGCAAGAAACCTGCAGCGAGGCCTTCTGCCAAGGGCGGTGGCACCGGGGACGGACTTGTGGGCCAGGCGCAGGGCTTGCCCCTCTGCGGCAAGGTGTCCCTCACCGGGCTCTCTCCAGGTCTCTAAACCCTACTGCAAATTTATTTTCAGCATAGAAAACTCCGGGGAGAAGAGCTTACCTGCTCTCTTCAGTGGATCCTTACAGCCCGAAGGATGCCTTAGCCCTGATATTGTGGGATTCGTGGCTGATCCACCATCCCTGCTGACACATCCTAAAGGCTGGACAGATGCTACACACAGCCCAGATCAGTCCTCTTCTTTCCAGAACCCCCGAGCTCCCTGGCACCCTAGGAAAAGCCTGGTAACACCTTAAGGTAGCATGCATAGAGCAAGTCGGTATCAGGTGCAGAAACACCTCGCTTGTGTCAAGGGTCATGGGCTCTATTTCGCTCCCAGGTGGTGATCCCACCCTTTCGGCACCTCGTGTGCCCAGAGGCGCCCAGACCCTGTCCCTGTCTGCAGGCCACACTAGAGGCCAGGCTTCCCCCACACGCCCCTTGCCACTTGTCCGTCCGAAGTCCCAAGCTGTCATTACTTCCTTGCTCCCTGGACTGTGCCTTCTGCAGCTCTCTCCCGGCAGCTGGCAGCTTAAGTGCCCACAGTTGAGTGTCGTCATTCTCCTTGGTGTGCCCTGTCCCCACTAGAGATAGCATTTAGTAAGACAGTGCGTCTCCTCAGACCGCCCTGCCCCCGTGAGAAGTTCCACTTGGAAACACGTTGGTCAGCTCTGCTTCTGAGTCTTGCTTTTGGGGACTCATTTCTCTTATCCAACAGGTTTTGACAAATCTTACTGCCCCAGAGCTGCTGCTCCTGAAAACCCAGCCCCTAGGGACCTGCCTCCTGCTCTTTACTTCATGCCTCTACCAGCTTTCTTGCTGGGCGGGAGGTGTGGGACAGTTTACAGACCCCTGGAGGCAGGAGGAGGCAGGCCAGCCCCACCCCACCCACCCTGCCTCGCCTTAGCTCTTCCTCCGCTGGGACAAGCACACGGAGGCCCTGGTGTGGGTCTGGCTGGGAGTCCTTCCAGACAGGGCAGGAGGAGGGCGGATGGCGGGAGGGGGGACGGCTCCAGGGAGGCCACTGGGTCCTTCCCGTTTCCCTCCTGGTCTCTACTGCAGTGTCAGCGACAGTGCTCAGCCTTGCTGTGTCTGGAAGGGAGCTGATGCAGTCACCCTGTGTCTGCTCCTTGTCACGTTCTTCTCCCAGGCCCGCCCCAGCAAGGCCTCTGTACCCAATATTTTCCATCTGCCCCTCCTGATCCACCCTCCAACCCCCTTGGCCCTGCTCGGGGCCACAGGAGGCTGGCCTGGGTGGACGGCGTCCACTCTTCCAGTTGGGTTGAGAGGCACTGGCCGCCACCAGGGGAGCGAAGCAGGGAGAGGACGTCTCCAGGCCTCCTGGTGGGTGGCATGGACTGCCTGTGTCCTTCAGCGGGAGGCCACGGCTCTGGCCTGGCTGCCCTCTCTGGGTCTTTTCACTGCGTGTACCCCACTTTTAGGTCTTCTATCTCTCCCTGAAGCACGGCTTGAACCCGCCATTGTAAAGAGTCAGGTCATTGAGCTTTGCTCAAAACGCCTGGTGGGGCAGCGCCTCTGCTCCTGCTGGCTCTGGAGTCCTACTCCCCGGTGTGTTTCTCAACTTCTTAAATCCAGGTTTCCTTCTGGTAAACATAAACATCCCACACTCTGCCAGTGTGGGATCCCAAACATCCCAAACATGCCCACACTCTGATGTACCTCTTGGGCAGTGTGTGAGGCACCCCACCCTGCGTGATCAGGCGGCATGGTGCGACAGGCAGCCTGCCTGCAACCCAGCCGCCATGCCGCCATGGGCTGCACATGGTGTAGCTTGTATTGCAAATGCACTTGTTGGTTTCTTTTCTCAATGCAAAATTCTAATATGCTTTTATTCAAAAGGCATCTTCCTGAGATTCTGAGGCTCTTTTGGGACCTCCAGATGGAATGTCTAGATAGGAAGCCTGAATTCAGGGGGAGGGATGGGATGGGGATGGGAGAGGTGGGAGCCCCCACATTCTGTGTGGTTGACAGAAGAGGCCCCAAAAAGAAAGAGACGAATCCGGAACACTGGGGAAGATTGTCATTTAAGGCACAGGCACAGGAAAAGAACCGAGAGAAAGCGATCAGGTCAAGGGAAGAGTCACGAAGGAGAGCATGGGTGGCAATGTCCATACCACCTAGAGGGCACGCGCTGACCTGCGGGCCTAGCAAGGCTGGTGGTGGGCAAGGCTCCAGAGCTGCCGTGGGGTGGGGCGGGGGCCACTGCGGGGTCCCAAGAGGGAAGGAAGGAGCCACATTAGCAGCTTGAGAGGAAGATGCCCTAGAGAGAGAGAGACGGGCTGAGGATTTCAGGGTTGAGGGAAGAGCCTGCTGGAGCCAAGTCCCAGAGATGGGGGAAGGAGGGTCCCGGCCAGGCCTTGGGAGAGAGGAGGCCCTGTCGATGGGCACGTCAGGGGTCAGGGAGGAAGGCGAAGGCTGCTGGGCTCTGGGCCTTCCCGCGCACGGTGAAGTGGCTGCTGAGAAGGCTGCGGGGTGAGGCAGTGGATCAAAGCCAAGTGGTAGGGCAGCCCCGGGCAGGCCTACTGGCCGAGGAGGGAGGCAGGGGTTCCCAGTGCGGAACCTGAGCGAGCCCAAGCCCCCAGACCTGGGGCGGGAAGCAGAGCAGGGCACTGCTCCTGGGAGCCAGCGGGGCGGGGGCGGGGGCGGGGGCGGGGAGGCTGAGATGTAGGGCAAGGGCCCAAGGGGTGAATGCTAGTGAGAGGAGTCCAAGCAGTGGAGGAAGGAAGTGAAGCCTGGATGCTGAGAACCAGGGGGACTCTGGAGCTCTCCACGAGATTGGAAAATGGGAACATTTTTTAGAATGACCATTTGATTATCTTTGCGATCAGAAATAAAAAGTCAATTAAAAAGAAAGTCAAATTGCCTGAATGCCCATTAACAGTATAATGGATAAATAAATTGTGGTCTATTTCTACAATGGAATACTGTACAATTCCATGCAATAGCAGGTTCAGGTCAAAAACTACTGTTGAGCAAAAGAAGTCATACATAAAAGAGCTAGATAGCATTTGCAATCATTTATGTAAAGTTCAAAAAACAGGCAAAAGTAATCCATGGGTCAGACTTCAGGATAGTGATTACTGTTGGGGAAGGCAGCCGCTGGGAAGCCTGCAGGAGGGCTGGGGGCTATTCCCCTTGCTGACCTGGCTGCCCACCACACAGGGCCGTGCAATTGGTGAAATGCCTGGGCCTGGACATTTATGGCATGTGCATTTTTCTGTGTGTTTATTCTACTTCCATCAAATTTGAATTAAGAAAAAAAAAAAGACTATCTAACATGAAGAATCCAATTGGGCTTCAAGGCCAGTTTCTCCTGGATCACTTGCAGTAGACGCTGAACCTCCCTGCGCAGGTGAAGAAGCCACTATCTCTGTCCTCTTTGCCCTGCCCTCTGTTGAGACCCTCAGCCATAAATACTAAAGGCCATCTCCCCTCTGGAATCCTCCAGTTTCCACCTGTGGCTCTGCAAGGTGTGCCCTGCACAGGGAGGCTCACTGAGGGCAGAGACCCGGCCCCACTCAGCAGGCCCAGCAGGGTACCAGCTGCCTTGGACCCACCCAGAACAGGCTACATTTTTCTAATATGCCCACAGGTGCCCGGTGGATTCACAACAGCCCTGCCAAGGGTTTTAGGCAAACATTCCTGAGGTCTTACAATGTCTGGGCCAGAAAAACAGGAATTTGAGAGTTTTGTGATACTGTTACATTAAGGGTAGTAATAGTACCTGTGGCAGGTAGAGAATGTTCTATTTTTCAAAGCACTTGTGTGCACATTATCTGCAGCTAGGGCTTTCCCCAAGGTCTGGCGAGAAGGGTAGACCCTGTCCTGGCCGGGTTCCTGCAGCTACCCGGGAGCCCGCAAGGGTGGTGAGGCTCTGGGTGTGTGCAGGGCTGGCTGGGACAGTGTGGTCCTCCTCCCTCAGCTCTGTGTGTCATCGGGGGACTGCATGAATGTCTGCCATTCATTTGCAAGATGGGTGCGTCTGGGCTTCTGTGTGTCCCACCCTCGTTCTCGCGCTGGTGGAAACTTCCGCAGCCCCAGCACTCCAGTTCCCACTTCTGGGGTCTGTGAGCGGCCCCACGGGCGAGCGCGGGGATCGGAGGCTGTCTGCCCACAGTGGCCGCGAAGGCTCTGTGGTGAGCTGCCTGTGACATCCGGTCATGGGCCTAGTCTTTTATTCTGCAAGACACATTTTTTCCCATTTTCAAACATTCTCCAAGGCTTCCTGTGGCGTTTTTCTCTTTAAACAGTTCCTTTTGATTCTTTCCCTTACTAATGGCCACATGTCATCACAGCTCTTTTTCCTGAAACTGAGCACTTGAGAGGGTATGTTTGGGGCCTTGCTCTGCCGCCGGAGCACTAAAGCCGTTAGGTGGCTCCAGGAGCCTCGGTGCCCACAGAACCCTCCCCCTCCAGGGCCTGTCACTGGAAGATGAGTTCACTTCCTCTCTCTGGGGATTTGAGGAGTCGTCTTTGAGGGCGCGTCGTTGACCTTGACCGGGAGCTGCCCCTCAGCGTCGCCCTGAAGGGAGAGGCAGCAGGCGGAGCTGAGGGGAGGGCGCTTTATCCTGAAGACGGCAACGGCAGGGCAAGGGCGACGTGCTGGACTCAGCACCCCGGAAAGCAGAGCGCTGGGAGAGACCACGCTCCGGACAGCTCCGGACACTGCAGGGCAGCTAGTAAAATAAGGGGTTGTTGTTGGAGACAAGTCCATTGTGGTTTTGTCACTCTGCTTGCTTAACCGTGTGCAGAAGAATTGTTGTTTCACCCACTTCTGGGCACCCCTCATTTCCTTTCTTCCTGCAGAGTTTCTAGCGGGTCGGTGACCGGCCTTTGATCAATTTCCATCCACCTAATCTCGTCCACCCCCTTGGGCGGAGACATGGCACCCGCCGCTCCGTGCCACCGTTTAGCTCCCTAGACTGCAGCGCGAGGAGAAGCCGTTACATGCTCTGTCTTGGCCCTCGCGCCCCGGCCTGTCAGCTGTTAGGTTAGGTGCATGTCTCGTTGCCTCCGCTTTCGCCCAACACCTTTACATTTCTCGCTGACCACTGACTGTCACAGGGTTAGTGCCAATCAGAATCTGGCAGAGTTTGATGCCAGTGGGTGTTTTCTCCTATTTTAGTTGAAAAACTGCACTGATTTGAGCCTTGGTCCCAACAGCTGAGACCTATTCATCCAGGCTGTGCATTTGGTCCCAAGCCCTGCTGAGCCTCGTGCCCTGCGGGGACCTGAGGATCCGAGATGCGCAGGAGAGCTGTGGACGAAAACACTGGCGTGGAAAGACGGTGCGGCAGGCGTTGAGGGGGGGAGAGAAGGGAGAGGGCCCCGCCCGGAGGAGCAGGGGGCAGAGGAGGTGGCGGCTCCCGCTGTGTGGACAGACCCGGACATGGGGGTTCTGGAATCTAGTAGCGAGTTAGCAAAGGGGCCGATGAGATGGAGAGGGTGAGGCCGAGAGAAGTGGCCAGAGAGGACCCCCTGTTGGGAAGAGCGACAGTGAAGGTGGTGCGGGGCGGGCGACCCGGACTGGGGCAGGCTTTGCGCCTGGCAGCAGGGAAGGACCCTGGGAGCTGAGGGCAGCGCTTCGGCCATGTGAGCACAGCCGGCAAGACCGACACCTCTCTTCTGAGGCCATTCTTTCGCTGCTCTGCGGGCCGCCTTGGGCCTGTCTCTGGCTGTGGCTCCAGGGCCTGCCCTCCCCTCCCCCTCCTGACTGTCTACCTGCACCAACAGCAGAGTCCGGCCGGCCGCTCCCAGGCAGGCTGAAAGAGCCTCTTCCCTGGGCACTGAGGCGACGCGCAGCCTCACCCTTCTCGTGCCCCTCACTGCCGGCCTCCCGCCTGCTTCCCTCTCCTCCGAGAGCGGCTCTCTGGAACTGCTCGGCCGCAGCTGGCCGTCGGAAAGGCCGCAGGGACAGCAGGAAGCAGAGCCTTGCTCCTCCCCACAGGGTCCTCCCTTGTTCCCGACCAAGGGCATTGTTCTACCTCATCGCTGCGGTGCTCGGTCGGTTTGCGTGGGGCCCAGCTACCCGCGACTTCCCACTCGTCCCCCTCATTCTCTGCCCGCTCTTCAAGGCCCGCTCGGAGCTTCCCTCCATGACGGCCCCTGGGTCCCTCCAGCCCACACCGCCTCCCTGTCCCCTGCCAGCACAGAGCACGAACCCTTTGCAGCCTGTATGTCGTTTAGCACCTTTTCAGTCTCCATCTAGCTTCACTCTGTTTTACTCTCTAAAAGCTCCTCAGGCATTCTTTTCTCTTTCTAGCAAGACATCAGCTCCTCACGGGAAGTCCTGAGGGACCCGCTGAGGGCTTAGTGGCCAGCAAGGAAGCTGGCCTCTGTGCCAATCGCCTGAGTAGGTGACAGTGGCTGATGATCGAGCATGAATAGATACTGAAAAAATCTGTCACCTGCTGGAGACGGCAATGACATTTGCTCCCACAGCTGATGGCAGGGTGAAGCAGACATCCCAGTGGGACGGAGGAAAAGAGTTCTCCATGGGCAGGGAAGGGGTTAGGCCTGGTGCTTAGGACCCTCAAGGGACCAAGGCAAAGTGAAAACGTCTCAGGCAACCCCGGGGTGGGGTGAGGGGACCAAGGAGGGCATGCCTGCTTGGGAAGAGGTAGACTTGGGAACTGGGCTGGGAGACAGGCCCAAGAGGATTCCTACATCAGACCTGGGCTTTGGAGCCACTGCTTTGCATATAGGACCACAGGGACCCATCATCTGTTCTCATCCCTGCCAGTTCAGCTCAGAGGACAGACACGAGGAAGGAAGTGGCAGGGTCTGGGGGATGGGAGGGAAGGAAGGAAGGTGGTCCCAACCAGGCCTGGAGCTGGGCTCCACAGCCAGGCACTGGCATGACTGGAAAGAGGGCACAGCCCAGGCGGCTAGTAAATACAGGCTGAACTGAACTGAATAATGAGGGACTAATAGATCACCCTTAAATGTTTCCCACATCTTGTGGGGGACAGAACAGAGTAGGGGTGAGGAGAGGAACTCAAATGTGACTTTAGTCGGGGCTAGGTTAAGCTGGGCTTGCTCTTCTTGGTAATATCGGTTTGACTCAAGGGCAGCAGGGGCAGCTCCCAGGGGCGATGGGGGCAGGGCTGCCACCACAGACAGGCCGGACGCTGTCGGCGCGGCCTCCTCGGGACCTGGCCAGCCGGCTGCCCTCCCCAGGAGAGCCTCTGCTGCCCCGTCCGATCCTGCTCCCCTGGGCCTCTGGCGTCCCCGCCTCTTTTCTGTGAGACCTTGTGTTCCTCCAACCACAGGAGGGAGAGGTCGGTTCCCAGAATAGAAGCCATCTGGCTGCTCCCGAAACACTTTTCCTCCCTGTGCACTGCTGGCTCGTGCTCCTGCGTCTAGCCGGGGCTTAGCTATGCCCCTCGGAAAGGCTTTGTCTGAGTTCCAGAGCTCCCGGGCCCAAGGCCACCCTGTCAGGCTGCCGCCCTTTCTCTTCATAGCGCTCCTCATCGCCGGGACTCAGCGCCCTCTCTGCCTCCCTGCTCCTTGCCTGTCTCTCCTCCCCGGATGGGAGCCCCGTGCAGGCAGGCATGGGTGCTCTTGCCCACGCTGGCCCCTCGGCTTCTAGAATGTGGCCAGCACACAGCGGTGCTCGATGAGTATTTGTTGAATGG